AAAATATTCATCTTTTGTCCTAAATTTATTTGATTTTTCTATATATATAGGAAAGTGTGTTGCGACAATAACAACTCTTTTTTGAGAAAAATAATTTAAGTAAAAACGTTTTTTTAATTTTTAACATGTTGCCATTATATAAAATATAAGGGAAAAAATTTTAGGAAATATAGATACGTGTAATATCTTAAAAATATCCATAATTTGCCGAAATTATTTATCTTATTTGTTTATGATATTGAACATAAAACAATTATTTTTAATCCATATTCCTATAATTTTAAAATAAATAATACGTACAAAAAATTGAATATAATTGAAATTTTTTTTTTTATTTCTTGCTATTGCAGATAACATTGCGATTATTTTTTCTATCTATCCCGTTACTAATAATTTTTTCTATTGTTAGTTCAAATTTCATGTTTATATGATTTATAATTCATTTTATAAAAAAAATATTATAAAAAAATATTTTATAAAAAAAAAAAATCTTATAGACAAACAACTAATTTTACAAAAGAAATGAAACAAAGTGAAATATATTTTAGAATAAAAAGATGTGTTGAACAGTTAAAACGTTTATGTAACACGAATATATAACGAGTTGTCAAGTAGCAATGAAGAAAGAAAGAGTGGCGAGAAATTTTAATGACGTTACAATTCCATGTCACGCTCGAAATTGGAATTTGCGGATTTTTGCGGTTATGCATGTACGGTTAATCCAGATTTTTCATCAATTTCACTAATTGGGATGTACATGGTAGTCATTTTGATAAGCGATCGATATTCGTTAATATCCATTGCAATTAGAAGAACCTATTGGTGGCAAGGTAGACGTACCGTTCGATTATCGGTTTTATCATATCGTGATAATAGCGAGCATCGAATAAACGCAATAGTTTGTTCAAAATGATTCTGGTGCACAACTGATGCTCGATTGATCCGATTGTAATGAGTGTACAATGCATAAATCTATTATTCGTCATACGATTTTGTTGATTTTCAATAAAAAATTAATATGAATTCGATTAATAGAAAATGATACCGCAAAATCTTACAGAGAAGAATATTATATTATAGTAAAGTATGGTGAAAAAAATCTGAAATTATTATCATAATTTTGTATAAATAAAAAATATATCGACTTTATACAATTTTGAGGATAAGATTTAAATTTAAGATTACATTATTGATTTATAAAATAAAACTTAAGATGAAATAATTATATATATCTGCGATATATCATTTCTAGGATAAATAAATTGATCGGGTAACAGTACGTTGTTATATTTATTAAAGCTCGTCCGAGTAGATAAAAGTTGGCGAAATAATGGTGCTTCGCATTATTAATGATCACTGATAATCTCTTTGTCTTTTCCACTACGTATTCCATTGGTATTTCCGATGCCTATACTCACATATTTTCTTTTTCTCTCGTGTATTTTCAATTCCAAATTTATTTCAAAAATATTTCTTGCATCAAAATTAAAACTCGTCCGATTCAAGGCTATTATCCTTAATTGCATCTAATCACATCAATTATCCATCGTTCCAATCACATTATCGTTCCATAGAATGATTTCAATTTTTTTGATTTCGTATTTTAAGTCTGTGTTGCACTTATGACATGTTTCGGAGATAAAATATTTCATGTGGATAAAATATATTACGATGTTAAATATATATATATGATACGGATTGATATCAATTACTGAGTTTATTTATTTATTTATTTATTATTTTTTTTTTCCATAAAAATCTAGCACTTCGTATAAGATAATTTGTAGATAACAATTATTTGACGACGCGACGAGCGATTAATTATTGTAGAAGATTATTATTATAAAAACAATTGTACACTAATTTAAATAATCATTCCGAATTAATTTTTTCTTTTCAGATTTTTCAGATTTAGATATTTAATTTTTATTTCTTATTTTTTCTTCTTCCGTTTTTTTCATAATTTATTTAACATTAATTATTAATTATAATTTATTTCGATTATCAATTATACATTTTATTTTACATTATATTTTATATTTTTCATAATTCATTTATATTAATTATATTAATTTTAATGTTTCATATTTTATTTATTTTTTGTGTTCTTAATTTATTTAATTTTTTATTTGTTATTCTTTAGCTTTTAATTTTTTAGCTTTAGGTGGATTTCGATGCATAGTCACCTCCTCGTAGTGAGATCTGGTAATTGGCATCATTTTCCAAAATTTCTCTTTTTAAAATTTTCCCTTAAAAAGGAAAAACTATAAAAAAAGTATTTTGTTAGAAAGATTCGATAATTTTCATTAGTAATTTCTTTTCTTTTTTTTTTCTTTCTATAATAATCTGTAATTGTTTTTCACGTAAAATGGCATTTAAAATATTTTAATAAAATTATAATTGAATAATTATAGTTGAATCGAAATCTACTATCAGACAGAAATCTAAAATTTAGTTTATAAAAATATATTATTACGTTTACTATCGTAATAAATTGTTAAAGGTGTGATAAAACGATAAAAATAGTAAAAATACATTAATTTTTTATCGTAATAAATTATTACGATGTTATAAATTAATAATAAAAGTTAAAAAATTGAATTTATTCGTCATTGTACTCGATAAGTCAGATTTGGCGCAATCGGTAGAAAACATACGTTTTCATCAAACTTCGTGACAGTGGCAGCAACTTTCTACATACATACGATGCGATGGAGCGATCATATCTCAATGAAATCTCACGTGTAGAGAAGATCGTTGATATTTCAACTAAATTTTTATAATATCGAGAACATTTTTAATCATTTATTGTTGTGCTCTATTTCCAATGGCCAGTCGAAGGTCCGCGCTCTTATCGATTGGTACCTTTGGATACCAATTAATCTGAGATAGGTTCTGTATGTCGAATGCGGTCTTCTGTAAATCGACCTCGGTGGTTCTAGGATGACTTCCAGTTCCTTCCTGCGTGTCGTTGGGATGACGTCTTGGTAATCCAGCTCCGGTGGTTTTATAACGACATCTAGGTCCTTCCTGTCATCGACGTGGACATCGTGCATTTGACGACCATGTCGGAGTCGTAACACTCTGCTGGTCAATGTGAATATTATTCGATGAGTCGATTTATATATGCCGTGATGAAAGTGGTGGTAACTCGAATCGGTTGTTTTATGGCTCGCATATTTATTCCTTAATATTTAGGTATGATTTTAATTTCATTTAACTTTTTCGTGAATAATATTCTTAATTAAAAACAAATGATACTTTTTGGGTCTCAATTTCCTCCAATGTAAAATAACAGTGAAGCAAAACAAAAATTACAATGATAAATTCCGTCTGTTTTAATATTCTAACGAAAAGAGAAAAATGAATATTTTAACCCGATCAATGTCTTGTCCGAACTTTGTATTTTACTGCCATTACATTTTTACATAGTTACGGGTTGTACCGAAGGTTACAAAAGTTCCTATATCTAGTAACCAAATTTCTTGCTTCGTTTCTTACGTTTATAATAAGACGATAGAATAGAATAGAATAGAATAGCCTTAAAGTTAACGGTTATGCTTCTCCACGCCATCTTAAGGCTGCCTGTATATACGTATGTTTACAGTGTGTAGTCACTGCACATTGGAGTCGCACCCGATGAATTTTTTTCTTATAAAAAAAAAAAAAAAAATATTCATGTATTTGTTACATAAAAGTCATCGACGTTAATATTTGTCTTATTCCAATAATGTATAATATGGAGTTTAATTTTTAATTTTATGATTTTAGGAAAACTTACACGACATTTAACAACACTGGAGGAACTCAAAATTTCCTTCATCACTTCACCACAAGAAAATACACGATGCAGTTGGATTCTAACAAAACGAGTTGTCATTTCATTACAAATTGTTATGGCAATATTTATTAATGGCAATTGAACAAATTCACACGATATTACCTCGGACCTTTTTTCTCGATTTTATCCTCTCACAGAAAAAAGTTGAGCAGTTGTAAAATTGTGATAAGTTTACATATGCTTCGGTCGATGAATTTTCTTTCTTCACCAGATTCCTTACAACATATTCATCGCATCACAAACATTACTCGTTTTTGCAACACAAACCACGAGATTAGATTACCATTATAAATTCCACATTGTCCGATATTTACACATTGTCCATTTCCACCTAATACAATTAAATAATATTAT